CCCAAACCATTCTATGATTCTATGAAATGTTTAGTCTTTTCCACCAGTATTTGTAATGTGGAGTGTCTCCTTACACACTATTTCCCAACCTCTCTTAACTGTTTTCACTACATTTGCTTTTTGTACTCTGCAGCTATAAATTATGAATGGAAAAATAGTTTTCAGTCTAATTAAGTACTTAAATACTATGCTTTTTAGTATTGCTTAATAATTACGTTTTTTAATGAAACAGCAATTTAAAGGACTATGTGTTCCAGTTCTTGAGCACCCGAAACTCCAGGACATCTTGTTAATTCCTGTCATTGGACCCAGGTTTGAAATTTTCAATCTTTAGCCTTAAAATGTCGTAACACATATTTTACTTCTAGATTTCTTGTTAAACAGTTATGATAACTAACTCACTGTAAATGAAGCACAACTTAATTTATATTAAGACCTAGTAGACAGTCCATATCCTAACGTGGTCAGAGCTTTAGTCCTCAAAAGCTTTAAGAAAACATAGAGAGAATTCTCTCCTTATTTGTGAGATTAACTTTTTATAGGGAAAATGTAACATAAGTACGTCCTCTCTGGAAAGTCAGATAGGTGGCAGATGAAGAAGAACAAAAGTTTTTGCGGTGGAGTATAGAACTGTAGCTAAATACAGGCAGGGTTTTCTTCCACTGGAATCAAGTCCAGAGCAAGAATTAGGGAGAGTGGATCAATAATGCTGAGAGGATTCCTGAATCAGTTTTATCCCCTAGAAAATGACTATTCGTTCTTCATTCTTAAGATATGTTTAGATATTTCCTATGTTGTGTATGTGTCTGCTCCTATGGAGTTTCTTCATTGTTTTATTGAATTCACTGATGGACATTTTATTTAAAGTGTCTTGTTCATAATGAAGACTAACATATTTCAGATTCAGTTTATATCATAATTAGGTAGAGATTGGTAACAAGTAGTAATAGTTTGTAAATGCTGTACACTCTAAAATAGCATTTAATACTTTTATTTGTTCTTCATTCATTCATTTGATGATCTTTTGTAGCATCTTTTTCTGAACATTCTGTTCTTTTTATATTCAAATCTGTTCACACTTCAATAAGTTCAAATAACTATCTTCTTCACAATTCTTACTGGCAAAGTTCCTTGCAACTGGTTATACATTAATTATAGAAGTACTTAGCAGCTGTTAAACACAAAAAATCAGTTTACAATCATCTGGCCTAGGAATGGATAGAGGCTTATTTCTCTATCCCGGTATAATTTATTTGTATTCCTGTGTCAGGGTCATAATATTGGCAGAATGTGTCAGAATCTACTTTATTCTGAGGACTGGTTTCCTTCTTGGCTCTTTCCTTTGATTCCTCTGGGACTAAAAAAAAATATTTTAAATGTAATATATGATAGTTAACTATTTGTTCTATTATATTGTGACAAAAACAGCATTTATGAACTAGACTTTACTTGGGGGTATTTGGGGTTTTTTTTAGTATACTTTTAATTTGTTTTAAACTGAACTACGTTTTGTGCTTTTAGACGAAATTTAAAAAAACATGCATCTGAAGTCATTGTTGGAGCCCACTGTGGATATGCAGTACTTCGAGGAGCACATGTATATGTCCCTGGAATCATATCTACCTCAAGATGTAAGAGTTCTCTAAATACAGCCAGTTAAATTTTAAAGAGGACAGAAAAAATGTCACCCCTTGATGACAATTTCCAATAAATAGTGACATTATTTTTTTTTATTCACAGCTGAAGTTAATCTTATAGTTGTAATTTATGGTAAATACATTTTTAAAAGTTTTTCTGGTTTTTTTTTTTTGAGATTTTCACCATTTTTGCATTATACTCGTAATAAATTATATGTAATTATTTTTCACCTGGCCTCGTTTAAGTTCCTTTTTCCATATGTAATTCCTAGCTGAAGTATTAGTATTAGTGAAGATGTGTTATTTCTTCATTCAGTCACAAAGGCACTTGTCTTCATGATCGTGTCAGGTTCTAAGTTACAGATCTGAAAAAATGGATATTCTTTTTTTAATCCATTGGTGATTCGTTTGATACTGTTTGTAGATGAGAGATCTAGTAAAAAGTGGGTTTTTTCTATTGATGAGAAAAATCTTCAATTTTAATGTTAGATACTTAAAAAATGGAAATTTTTGTTTCCATGCCTGTGAGACAAGATAAAAAATCTACATATACAAGCCCAGTATTCAGCAGCCTATTTATTTTTTATTTCAAGGTCAAATTAACTTTATGTGAAACCAGTATCATTTTGGATGATTTGCCTCATTATTCTATTGTGATGAGATCTACTAATCACCATGGTTCTTATTATTAAAGTGACTTGGGAAAGCATTTATATAGCCACTTAACTTCATTCCCTTTCAGGAAAAAAACCTTCAAGAAGTTTTAAGCATCTGCTTAAGTCCAATTCACCAAACAAGAACATTTTTCAATCTAGGACTTGATAATGAAATAAGTATATTGCCATATCAGTTGTTGAAACTGCTTCTTTAGCCAACCTCATAAATATTCAAATCCCTCTTTGAATCAACTAGTGATTTATCATAATTGCTGCATGTAATTATGCATGCAACATCAATTCAAAGAAAAGATGCTACAAAATTTAGGAACAATTTAGGAATTGCAGATAGGAAAATAAAATAAAAGGTCATGCTACACACTTGAGACCAAATATAAGGCTGTATTAAACACAGATGGTCTAACTAGGGAAAAAAAGAGTACAGCAAGAATACACATTTAATCACTGAACTTGCAGCCCAAATGAGGGTAAACTAATTATGAGGGGGCTTTGAGTATAATTTAACTAATCAAACTCTAAGCTTTATGTTTACGGAATGCCAATATAAGCTACAAAAAGCTTAAGAACTATACACAGTATTAATGCATTTTGAAAGGATGATTGTCAGCAGAGAGTGAAATAAAATCCTTTATGTTTGAATACTGCAAAAAGTCATTGGCAAATATGCTCGATGGAAGAGTTAAATTCCTGCAAGTTTTTATTCAGTGAAATTTAAGCAGACAATAACAGTAGGCTATCACAGAATGTTTTATGTCACATTGTGTAAAAAGAAGCTATGCAAAAAAAAGAAATGTTTAGTGGCTACTCAACCAATATTACCTTTTAAGAATTCCAGGGCACTTATGCATATTCAGAAGGCCACCTGAAAATGGGAAAAAAAGTTTCCTAAATAGAATTCAAAGAATTCTCGGGAAGCTGAACCATCATTAGTCTGACTCGTCATAGTTCCTGGTTGCTCCAGCCAGTCAGACACATCAGAAATGTAATTTTGGAAAATTGTTTATTGCTGTCAGTGGAGGCCTTTATTTTTAAGCATATTTTTCAGCCAGTCAGTGCATAGAGCTTGTTCGCTATTTTACAAAATCACTTAAACCATCCCCCTTTTCGATCTATTTTTGTTCTAGCTCAGAAAGTTTGTTAAGGCCCTAGGACTACACTGCTGGAGTTTGGTGTATATCTACATACTTTACTGGTCTGGAGGGTTTTAATTGGAGATGTAAAACTCTTAGAGGATTATTGAGAACAGCAGTTGCCTTAGAGGGAAGAGAGCCACACCAGAAAAATTGTTCCAACAAGAATATATAATCACTTGTATCAAAGCAATAATTAGAGAAAAAACAGCTGTAGCTGTGTTCTACCTAGCTATTGAGGGGTCATTAGACAAATTTAGTATTATTGTCTTTGTACAGTAAGTGTGAACCAGTGTTGTTTGATGTACTTGCATGCTTGGAGCACACACAGAAGATTGAATCCTGAAGAGTGTGCTTAAAACTTACAGGTGACCATGTGGTGCTAAAATAAATGAAGTGAAGATTTGTTTAGCCTCTTAAAAAACAAGACATGCTGTCTCATTTGTAACCTTGTGTCTCTCAATAGCTATAGTAATTTGGTAGCCATCATTCACCATGTACACTCTCAAGCTTAGTATCATTTAATCTTTTTGTTTGATTACATTAAGAAAGTTTGAATTTGACTATGATATGTGAGTTGAAGTAAGTAGTCTACTGAAAATCCTAAATTATTTGGTCACTTCTGTCTTGTCAAGTATAATATTAAACTCAAAATTCCCTTTCTTCTTTGCACAGTCATGAAAGCTGGAGATCTAGTCTCAGTGTATTCAGATATTGAAGGCAAATGTAAAAGAGGAGCCAAAGAATTTGAAGGAGTCAAAGTTTTCCTTGGAAATGGGATTTCAGAACTGAGTCGCAGTGAAATCTTTAGTTCAAGTGGCCCATTGAGGTAAGTCCATAGTAACTGCAATCTACACCTTTAACTTTGCAAAGGGAAGGAAGAAGATGGGAAAACATTTTGAAATGTTCTGTACCCTATGTGAAACCACAAGATGGCTTTGACTGAGACATTGCATGTTGGGATTTCCAGTATTTGTGGGGAAGCGTTAGTTTGCTGTCTTCTGTAACTTCACAAGTAAGATAGCAGCAATTTGATGGCAATTATGATTACAGTATCACAGTAAGTATTAGCAGACTCAACATTTAGTTTCATAGTGGTATCCAGATACCAGTTTACTTGAGAGGTAGGAGGATATAAATGGGAGCCTTTTCAGAATTTGTGTTTAGCATATGACTTCAATAATATAGAACAAACAGAAGTGACAAACATTCTCACTGTGGCAAAATTGCATTTTGGTAAATAGTTCTGTACCACTTTCCTGTTTGGATGGAACAGAAGTGCAGCCCTGTTGATTTCTCCATGTCCTAAAAATATTTGTAGGGGATTTTTTTGGTGGGGCAGGGGACAGAACATAAGGTCAGATATTTTAAAAAAATCAATAGCATTTGCCAACGTAGTTATCTATTTCAAGATTACTTGCTTTTCTATTTTGTTGCCAAAGCATGTGGTTTGTTCCTTTTCTGTCATCTAAAACACATATAAAAAGCAGTGTGGAAGAGCATGAACATCAAATTTATGACCGAGACTTTACATCCTGAGGACAAACTACAAGAGATCTAGTAAAAAAAGATTACATTGTCAGAGCATCTCTGATTTATTAGAATTTAAATATAGTTGAAGTAGTCGTAGGATATACCTGTTGAGTTAATGACATGGAATGGCAGTATGTAACACTGAATCTGGTGTCTGCAAGTTTGCTTTCTCATATCCTTCCTCCTTCTTGTTGGACTGTGCAGTGCATATGCAAAATAATACTCATTCTTGTTATCTTCAGTAATCTATTGTTTTCAGGCTCAGTATTGTTTTCTCTTGTTTTTATCGTTGTCCATTTCCTTGTACATTTATCTTAAGTTTATGAAATCTATGTCAGAACTTCATCCATATTTAAAACTTTTAAGTTGCTTCTAAGTTCAAACCTTTGCTGTGCAGGCAAATCAATGTTCCTGTAAGGCTTCTGAAATAGAATTTCTTTAGTTACTTGACTGAAATTGCAGACAGCCTAGAAAAATGGAGGAAGGTCTAAGCAGGAAATCATACACTAGTGCCCTAGTGCATACATGACTAGCGAAAAGCAGTTATGGATTGAAATTAACATATTCAAATCTGGTTTTATGTATTTCTTAACATTATCAAGGCTTTGATTAGATCTCGGTTTGTTTTGTGTACAAAAAAGATAAATTTGCTTTATGCAATTTTTACAGATAGTTCCAATTTATGTTGTAATACATTTTTTGTTATGGTTTACCCAACTTAATGATGTAACTTTAAATAATATCAGATCATAAAATTATAAAAGTATTTTTCCTGGTTGATTTATAAGTTCTTTTATTTTTTTAAGATTATTGTTTGAAGTTTCTATTTGTAAGCATAATGATTTTAATTGATTACTGTTAAAAATTGTAAATCTGAGTAGTTGAAATATTTTTTTTCCATGTTTTTCAGTGGGATGGGCATAAGAATGATAGAGCCAGTCTACCTTAGTCCTTCGTTTGATGATGTGCTCCCTAGTCATTTGTTTTTACAGGTAAGTTTGTTACAAAAATAAAAGTCTGTACTATTTGCAGAATAATGAATATCCTCTAAGCACACATGAACACTTTATATATTCCTTGTGTATGATGGCACTTAATTCACTCTTTGGATTTAAAGACAACAAAGCATTTAGAATGAACTCAGTATCTACATGTAGGTGGTTTAATCGTACTGTCTGAGATATAAGGGACTTCAGAGTGGCTCAAGAGATGTTAACTTAAAAACTTAGAAATTCTTTTCGCACAGATAACTCTGCATAGAACTTTTTAGTTTCTGGAATCTGGCTATGAACTCTGAAATACGAGACTCTTTCAGAATATATACTTCTGTAGATAATCAGGAAAAGCTCCAAATACTAGGTTGACTTTTAAGTTGAAGAGAAAATCTGTATCTTTTTAGCCCTAATGAAAAAAATCCACCTGAACAAAATAACCATGGAAAATCTTACAGTAGCTCAGCTTTCACTATCTCTTACCATAAAATTGCACACCTTCCAAAGAATATAAAACATTTGTAATACACAGCACTGCTCTGTGTCTGTGACAGTATCAGCATATTTTATTTGACTTTTAGCACTATAGTCTTCGTAGTCGTGTACCCTTAAACTTCAGTCATAGATACAGCTTTAAATAAAAAAGGAACGACTGGAGACTTCTGACCTGTACTGTCCCTTTTATGTAATTCCAATAGTTCGTTTTTTGTTATGGAACTGACAGCAATATCATAGGTATTTTCACTGCTGAATTAATTTTTGTTTCAATGAGTTTGTCATTCCTTAATACAGGACTTGATACAGGACCTAAGATTTGAATTCTCCCATATTTGTTTTTATGCTAGAACTTGCCTTCTGTGGTTGTGAGCCATATTTTAAACCCTCAACCAGGAGAGAGAATTTTGGATATGTGTGCTGCACCTGGAGGAAAAACAACCCATCTGGCAACATTAATGCATGACCAGGTAAGAGAAATCATTGAGCATTTTCTGTCTTCATGAAGAAGGTCTGACCACTGTACATTTGCACAGCTCACTTAGCTGTCAGAATGCACAGATAATTTACCAACAGCAAACAATTAATATTTGAACGTTCTGCTTACCAGTATATTTTGCGACACATCAGAATTACTGAAATGGGCACAGACTATCTTTATCAAATAGTTGCCGTCACATTTAAAACCTTATTTGCTGCAAGTCAACTTGTTGAAATATGTTTGAATTCAGTTTTTAAATGTTACTAATTTATTTTTAATGGAAGAATTTGTGGCATGCAAGGCGAAGTTATGCAGCAAAATGCTGGATTCATGAAACTGAGAATACGTGGAAATAAGGGGTTACTACTATGTGCCAAAAGAATGCACAACTCTGTACAAAAGAATATTAAAAAATTTCTAATCCAATTAACTTTCTTCTTAGTAAAAATTATCAATTATGCAGTACAGATATGATCTTAGACTGATATAGTAAATCATTAACATTTCAGAATATTTGAATCAATCTCACTTTTTTTGTGATTTAATTGTAAAAACTAGTATTTTGGTTTTAGATGAGAAAATCAAAATGTAAAATTACTCTGTATCGTTAACAGCTTTTAAGTAGGAATTGAAATGGTTAAAGCTTGAGAATTTATTATTAGCTGGATCCTAGTCCAGACCACTGTTTTTTCCAGATGTCTTTCAGGAAGTTGTTCTGGCAGTGGCTGGCATGGGTCAGATGGGGAAGAACTGTTGTCTTCCAGCTTGTTCTTTTTTCTGAGGGTCTCTCAGGAGAAGGACTTACCTCTTTATACCCACATGTGCAGCAAATCCACTGTTTTAGCAACAGACCTAACTTTGGAGCACAATCAGTTGTTCGTGTGCAGGTACAGTAGGTTGAATGATGGTGATAGGGGAGAAGCAGTGGCACGTGGGCATTGAGTGCTCCTGTAAGAGGTGGTTTGGCTCAAAGTAGCTGAAGGCTGGACACAACTGACACAACATAAATCCCTTTTTACTTCTCAGTCCTAGAGCTACATATTGGCTAGTGTGACATACAGTCAACAGCTTATCTTTACTGAAGTTTTGGATTTTTGGTTTTTGTTGGTTTTTTTCACTATCTTAGTCACGTTATCCTTCAGTGAGCTTCTAAAGAGTCATCACCAAGTAGGAAAACGTTGTCATGTTTTCTCAGAAAGTTCTATTTGCTATAGCAAGTCTAGTAGAGATTTCTGGTCTTTGGGGTTTTTTGAAGATAGTATTACTGTTCTGACTTTTACTGATGCTACTCTTTACTTTCCTTTGTGTTTACAGATTTCATTTAGCAGATAGTGGTGTGTGTCTCTTTTGATTTACCTTGGGAGAGGAAAAGACATATCTTATTCTTACATAAAAGGAATAATGTGTAATTGTGATTCCCCTTCCCCCAACATCTACTTTTATTCTAGTATTTGCAGTATTTCCCAAAGTAACTTGAGTGACAACTACTGCAAGTATGAGTGTGTTAGAAGTCTGCGCAAGCCAGAGGCATGGCTGTGGGCCTCATTTTCTCAGGACTGAGCTGTATGTGATTGTTTCCTACCATCTCCATGCAAATTTAAAACCTGTTGACCTACTTTACCATGTATTTGAGACTTCTACTCTCTTTCAAATTACTACATTTTTACCTAACTTTGTGGCCAGTAAAACAGTTCAAAACAAACAAAAAAACCCCACTTGCAGAAGTCAGACATTATAGGTCCCATAGGGAGTGGCTGTGCCAAGCAGCTACTGCCAGCCAGAATGCACACAGCTTCAGACTAGTATTTAGCCTAACGCGAGTATCATGGAAAATATGGGCAAACAAGGACTACTGGAGTGTGGATTTAAGAATAACGTAATTCTGTAGGAAAACTAAGCTTCATTCATTACACTGCTCATGGTGGGGGGGTTGGTGGTGGGGAGAAGAAATCAGGAACTGCACATTCATTTAATCCCTATGCTTTTGATAAAAATTCCGGGTTTTTTTCAGGGTGAAGTAATAGCCATGGACAAGATAGCTAACAAGGTCAAAAAAATAAAGCAGAATGCTGAATTGCTACAGTTGAATTGCATTAAGGCCTTTTGCTATGATGGAACAAAGGCACTTTCAGTTGAGAAGAGAGAGGATGAACAAGGTAAACAACTTGGGTAATAGTAGCTTTTAGAAGAAAATAGTAATCAGTTTTGCACTAATAGTATTAAACCTACCACAGGTCTGCAAGTCCTTGAAATCTTGGCAGATACCTAAGTTGCTTCAGCACTGTGAATGCTCTTTTTTTTTCCCTACTCTTTTGTGACTATCAGCAAATATCAAACTATCTGTCTTTATCACAACCTAATATGCACAAAGGAAATGCATTCCTTTCCCAGATAATATCAAAGACTGAAGAAGCCTTAAAGCTTCTTTCATGATAATGTTTAACCCCATACTCTGAATTGTTTGAGTTAGTCTGAGAAAAAAAATATTTTTTTCAGAATTGCTTGGCTTTTCTGCCTCAGAATCCTCATCTGTAAAATGGGGTTATTAATACCTAACTCCCAGGAGTGCTGCAAGGTTTAGTTCATTGATGTTTGTTCAGCTGTTCAGGGGAAAGTTCTATAGAAGCACAGTGTATTATTTTAAGTTCATTTCATTTGCTTTTCTGAAGTGCTGTATTTATGATACTGGTTCTGTTCCCATGATGGAACAATTTAAATGGTATCTGCTGTCTTGCTTATTTTTAGTTTGTTGTGCAAAGTATGCTGTTCTTTCTCACTCTATTTTATCCCAGTCACTGGTTAGCCTAACTAGAAATCAGGTTGTATAATTCACCTTCCTTGTCCCTAAGCCTTGCAGTTATTTCTGCTTTGGAGAAATAAAGGTACTTTCTTAATAGTCTTTCTATGAATATAAAATATTGTAGGTGGTATGTAGCACTTACACAGATGAACAAGAACTAGCTGTAATACTGAGAGATCATGAAGGCTTTTTTGTACATCCCTGCAAGTAAGATATGACATATTTTTAACATTGTAGTAATGGTTCAGAGGTAGATAAATCAGACTCATTTTGTAGTGCTGGAACAAGCTAGATAGCAGTAGTATGAAGTTACTCACTTGTTTTTACTTGTCACCTAACTTGAATATTTGAGGAACAGAAAGAGAAAAGGAGGTAAAGCATATATATGGCTCTCTTCCTCATTGGTCACTCACAGACACATATATAGAGCCACTTTTGTCTTGGTGATGCTGAGCTGAACAGTCTATCTAGCACTAAGGCGATAGAAACTTTCGGGCTATGGAGCCAGTGGGATTCAGATGAAAGGATAGGCCCTGCATATAGAAGTTATACATTCCCTTATCTATCCAGGTAATATTCAGAAATTGTTCTTGTCTTCAGAATCCTTCTTACTGAATTGTTCTGCTGTGGAGGCAGCATGTGTCACAGGTTAGAACTTGTAATATTTCATGTTATTATGAATGCTTTATTTTCTACAGATATATATGCAGCACAAGAAATAGTTATTATATAGACAATCCAATTATTATTATTTAAGGCAGTCTTAATGGTTAATTATGGGCTTCCCTCAGTAAAGATTTGCACACTTGGTTATGAGCTGACTATGGTTCATTACAGCCTGTATGTAGAACTCTGTACCCAATACCGCTGACCAATCATATTTCAACATTTTTGTTTAGTTACATTTTACTTTCAAATTATTAAATTAAGGTTAAAAAATATTATTGCCTAAAGGGATCACGTACTGTTTGAACTCGCAGAACTAAAACTCTTTAGTTTTCTGATGAAATCTACCACCAGCAGTGCTGAGACTTGTCTTTAGCTGAGCTTACTTGTGCAAACACTATCTATAGAACATGTTTTATGTCAAGGAAGCAGTAACAGCTTGTCCTTATCTATGGTGAAGTCTCAAGGAAAGAAACAGACCCATTTTACATTGCTAACTGCTTTTTACAGAAGGACCTCCATTCTTACCAGAGTCATTTGATCGAATTCTTCTTGATGCTCCATGTAGTGGGATGGGACAGAGACCAAACATGGCTTATTCCTTGACTTTAAAGGAAGTGACCTCTTACCAGCCGCTACAGCGCAAGCTTTTCACTGTGGTTTGTATTAATCATTGAGTAGATAAGCTAAATTGAACATCAGTGCTTTTGCAGCATAAAACTTGATACCAAAAAATGGTGCCTCATTTTCCCTACCTTTTCAGCAGTTAAGTAGAGATAGCATTAGGATTCAGTTAACCTCTCAGCACCTTCGTATCTGTTGCTAGGTGAAGTCAATTCATTGGAGCATGGGAATGGTATATGTAAGCCATAGTAAATAAAAACCTTTGCATGTGTCTTTTTTATTCCCTCAGTTTCATCAGTTATAATTCATAATAATTGCAAAGGTCTAAGTCATGGAGCAGGTTAAAGTCTTTCCTCTCCAGCAGCACAGACTCTTGTAAGTTCACAGCATAGAACTGCCATGCAGTGGTGCTGTGAGGTACCGGTATGGGATATGAGATAGGGTGCAAAGCCAGGAGGCCATGTTGCAACTTTTCATGCTAGGAGTGTGCTTGGGTGATGCTGAAAGATACGATTTCATGAAACTTGTCTACATCGGAATTACACGTATTCAAAGTGAACCACAGCTTGAAAAGCAGCATAGATATAGCTTTCATGCCAAATATGTGGAAACAGTTGACATCTAGTATCACTAATTAAAATATTGTGTGTCTATGGTTAGCAGCAGGTGATGAAAACAGAACTGATCTATTTGGGATATGCAGAGCTGTACAAGTAACAGATCTTACAAGGTGAATCATCTCAATGGCATTTATAAACTCTGTGAGCTATAATGCTGATTTGAAAAGAAGAATCTAATCCATGGGATCCTTTACTGTATTCCCTGAGAAGAATTAGTATCCAAATGCCTCTTAAAAAATTGAGTTTAATTAAGTGCTAAGTTTTAATATTAGAGCTCAATGGTTTCTTGGTTCATGTTGCTTAATATCAAAGTTTTTGCATGTAAAAATAAGCTGAACTATTGTTTGTTTCTCCCTGCAGGCAGTGAAATTGCTGAAGCCAGGAGGTGTTTTAGTATATAGTACATGTACAATTACACTCTCTGAGAACGAGGAGCAAGTTGCCTGGGCCCTGAAAACTTTTCCATGCCTCCAGCTTCAGCCACAGGTAATAGTATTTTCAGGATACTTCACATAATCCAGTGAGCTTGTTTTGGCATTGTGAAGTTACACACTATATTTACAATCAATAAATCTCTTTTTTACTGCAGACAATTTTACCTGCTGTGGATAGAAATAACACAAGGAGTTCTGAGACTCTTTTAGATCTATTTTTGTATCTAACTGAGCTTCATTTAGAGGTTGTTAAGTAGTTTCCCACTGTGTACTGTGGTTGTTTTGATTTGTACGACAGTCGCTTAAAACACAACAGACACAAAAGACAGTTCAGACAGGTTAAAATTTCTCTTGCAATTGTTCTTTAATGCATATATTTCATTCTCTTTTTTTGCACATTCACAGAAGAGGTGAAAAAAATGTTATTAATGCCACTGCAGTAGTGAAGACTTGCATAAAGGATGGGAGATAAATGGAAAGAACCTTGTGTTTTGAGGAAGGAGGATTTTATATGTATGAGAGCTATTTTTGCATTATGTAAAGGAATGAGGGTAAAAATTTATTTCAGGCTCAGTGTCCCAAAAATGTACCTTGTCTTTTTTGGAGTCGGTGTCAACCATTAAGATGTCTGTGAGGAGGTAATATATGGGGAGATACTCGAATTTTTTATCTATACTGCATACATTTCAAAAATATCTGTTACCTTTTTTAGCACCTTGAGAGAGTTTATCATCAGATCATATGCATCTCTCTTCCTCTTTGTTAATGTGGGGAGTTGCATGTGTTAGTTGTTTGTCATCATGGCTTTGAGGAAAAGTCTAACTCTGATACCTGTTCAGCTTGCTTATACATTCTGTGATGACTTGTATCTGTCTTAAGAAGTTTAGATGCATCTTTTAACTGAAATTAAAAATATATATATACAATAGGTATACAATGAGAAATTCTATAAAGGCTGGTAAAGATTTAACAGAACGGAAGCTTTTCTTAAAAGATTTGTATGTCAGGGTTCTTCTGCCTCCTTTCTCACCATCCATTTACTAGGAATTTTTCAGTTCCAGCTATTTCAACTGAGATTATACATTTTACCTAACAGCATAAAAATTGTCCTCAATAGAGTGACAAAGCAAAACACAAGCCCTATTAACTCAAATGCAAGATTAATTCTGTTTTAATAGACTTCCTCTCACCAGTAATATCTGTCTTGAGTAAAGCACTAGTTTTCACACACCAATGCCATATCTTTAAAAATCAAGCTTTTGTATATAGTATATTTTAAATGAGATGACACTGAATTGTTTACCCACAGATAGTTTATTGAACCTTATAACCACTCTTATAATCCCCAGTAGTGTAAACTAAGGTGATCTTTTCCAATGAACAGGAAACTGGAGTCTAGGGTTGACTTACCTCATCTTCTTTTATGTATTTCCCATATTCTTTAGTCTCTCAGTGGACACCTCCTTATATACCCAGTCCACTGTCTCCCACTTTCTCAGTTTGGCAACAAATGCTGGAATCACGTTGGGTAAGGGAAAAACCAGGAGGTGGAGCCATAGCCGGTTGATCTTGTAGGTGGAAGTTACTGCATGGCAGCTGGTCCTTTGTGCGGACTCACTTCCTCTTAGGGGCTTACACAGGAGATGCTGTATGCCAGCTAAAAGGCATTAACTTAACTGGAAGGAAAAAGGAAAAGGTAGAGGAAGAAATTCGTCTGTCTTTGAGCAAGTCGCTTGACCCCGTGTAATACTGTTTTCCCTAGACTTTTACCTTTCCATCCTTCTATTACGTTACTTCGAGTTGCTACACCTGTCTCTCTTTGTATGTTATTTTTTCTCAGTTTCCAATGGACAACTCTTTTTGTGTCTTACCTGGAAAGTATTGAAATCCTGTTGAGGGAAAGGAAGAGGAGAATCAGGCTGCAGCCTGTTGGCTGCCCCGCTTTACAGCACGCAGTACATGGTTAAGCAACTAACTCGCACCATGTGCTGACTGGGTGTGGTCATGTGTTAGCAAAGTGTGATGGCTCAAAAAATACTCTGCTGTAGGCTGCGTTATAGTCTACGCTAGACTAGATTTACGAAGGAGATCTATTTTTGATATTGCAATGCCAGCTTTTGCACATTTTGTTCTATCTCCTTACTGAATGCATTGAAAGAACAAACCAGCTAAGAATTAGATTTTTTTTTTCCAGGAATCAGTGTATTAATAAAAAGCAGTCAAGGCTACTCACCAGAAATGCTGAGAAAAGGGCTGTGATTTTAAGCCCTTCTCCTTTACAGGATTTTGATGCCAAATGTCATCTCCTGAATTCAGATATGTAAGCTGTTCCTTTCTTTCTTTCTCTGCCTCATATACACACATACGTAACAGCAGTCACATTTATCTGTTAGTCTAATTATATGACAGAAAATCTGAAGCTCAGATTTTTCTGCTGCATCATCTTCCAAAATGATGCCTCTTCAGGCAGTAAAGCATTCTGGGTTGGGGCTTTCAGTCTCTCCAGCTCAAGTTTTCAATGTGAAGAATCCTGGTATTTCTGTTACTGTTATTGAGTGTATTAGTAACTGGCTAAGGAATCACTATTTTTGACTTAACTAATAGCTATTAGTCAGTACCCAGAAGTGATGCATCTTTTAAAAGTGGCAACCTAAAACCTTTAGACCTTCTTATTGTCTGGTTAGAACAGCTTTCTTGTGATGCTTCAGTCCTTTGAGTAATGAATTGATTTAGACCTGTGTACCTGTCCTCAATAAGTGCTCTAAACTACTGAGCTAAAGTGGATTAGATGCACCACCACCTCCTCAAAGTACTTCAGACCTTGTATATCTGCTTGTATATATATTGGCCAGATGAAGGCAAGAAAAGAAGGGCCACATTACTTCTAAATCCTCCCCTGCTGTGAATGATGCAAACCTAGCTTGTCTGTGTTAACAGTTAGGCAGCTCTGCAGAATACATTTAGGGCACTTAAGAACTTTACTGGTGCAATAATTTGCTTTCCTTTGTTACTTTAAAAAAGGAACCTCACATTGGAGGAGAAGGCATGAGGGGAGCTGGACTGTCACTTGATCAGCTGAGGCTGCTGCAGAGATTTGATCCATCTGCTGCGACATTGCAAGGAATGGATATGAATTTTTTGCAAGATTCCAGGGAAGATGATCTGATTTCACTGGCAAATAAGGACTGTATAGGATTTTTTATTGCAAAATTTATGAAATCGACCAGTAAGTAAGCATTTAGGAAGGCGACCTGAATAAATACCTCTGCAAGTCTAGGAACAGTTGGGATGTGAAGTGTGTTTCTTACTGCTGCAATGTTGCCAAGCCAACAGGCTGACGGCAGGGTTGCTATGGCAGCCGCGAAACCTGCCAGCTGTTCTGCTGGGAAAGAGCCACAGGTTGCAGAAAGTCAGTCCTGGTTGGGGGAAGGGAAGTATCATTTTTAAGTCTCTCTTTGCTTTTGTATTTACAGCAGGTCAGCGCATGAATGACAAGTATGTTCGCTCATACAGCTGTCCGTTCTCTCTTTCCCCATGTGAATCGCTTATCTTGTGTGGCAAGTGTAGGAACCGGGTTTCTCTGGGAAAAGGAAGTAAGCTACTTTATGAAATGCAAACATAAATAAAACAGATGGGAACTATTATTGTGAGTTTTGGAAAAGGTAGTTTCTATGGAGGTTTGTCAATAGTGAATGTTTCATTAAGTAGTGCTTCACGTAACACTGTAACGTTTTACAAAGAACTGTTTTATAAATTGATACTTAGAACCTCATTTCTCTTTTATTTTAATACAAGCAAGATTCTCTGTACACATAGTATATACACAAAATAACGATTAGGCTTTGTAGCATGTCTTTTATAGCAGCATGAATATATTAAACCATCTCACTCTGGGAATGTAAATAAATATTGTTTCAACATCAAACTTCCCATGCATAAACTGTATTGGTTCTGAAATAGCCTATTGGACTGGCTGACAAGTGACAATTTTAAAATCAAACATTTGCAACAGAAGGGGCTACAGTTGTGATTAATATATCAAAAGACAGAAAACAATGCATAATACGTCTGAAATGTTGCAAATCACCTTTCAAACAACTAAGAATATTAACTCTTTATTGGTTAGAAAGCATCACCAGCTAAAATCATATGAAAATTGAAACTGGGGAAGCATGCTAATGAGAACTGCCTTAATACACTGCTCAAAGTTTTAATAACCTAAATTTCATAAAGGTTTTAGATGTATTTGAAAATTGTGCTTCAGTTCCAGAGATGTTCTCCATTTGAACAGTATTCTCTTTTCTCAGTACTGCTGGAACTGATAGTAGCACTAAAATTAGAGGGAAAAGGTAAGTACAATTCAAAAACGTAAACTGACATCTGTGTGTGTTTGGTTGGTTTTTTCCCTCTCACTCATCAATTTCCAGTTTTTAAAAGCATTATCTGAAAAGTGTCTGCCTTTCCCCACATAACTATTTGGTTGGATTAAAAAGTCCAATACTTCTTTTATAATTTGTCTTTATATTGTGAGAAGTGCTTTTGCATTTCCTCGCAATCAAAACAATTTACACAATTCTGTTTCTCAGTAGTCTGGCTGTTTATTTATATTTGCTATAAATGTTTTGATACCATATGTTTTCTACTGTTCTTAAATAAAACAAATGTCTCTTCTGTTCTGCCAAGGTTGACTAGTCCATCCTCTGTAAGGCCTATCCTAGCAGAATAGGATGGCATTCTTGTCTACTACTTGTCTACTTTTGTTGGTCCCTCCTTGCCATTAACCACAGCATGTCTAAAGAAGATTTAAAGTAATTTTGTTTCATCAGTAGTAGGTGAAAGATCCTATTTAGACTCATGAAAGCTCATACTATAAATGACAGTCTTTTTAGTCTAAATATGGCTAAAATAATTACCTGATAACAAAAGGGATTAGTCTTTTATTGTAAGTACATGTGGAAATCTTTGACTCAGTGCTAGTAAGAAAGCATTTTCTTTTTTGCAGAATATATAAATTCTGTAAACATTAATCAGCACACATAGACTATATAGTGAAATTTGTGTATGCGTGTAGAGTAAGGAACTTTGCCTCCAGTTTTAGTAGCAGGATTTGTGCAATGCTGAATTTGAAAGAATTAAGATTGCTGAAGTTTTAGTGGAAGATTTGTTGAGACTTTCCCAGATTTCTTTAGTTTTGAATGATAAATAGGCTTTTCAAGAAGGTGATCTCACTTGATTTTATATTACAAGTTTCGGGGGGGGAGAAAGAGTAACTGACTTCTATTTGATTCCAGTGTAATTGCAGACCAGACTTCACCTGAAAAAAATTACTGATTTCGAACTTTAACTACTAGAGTTGTTTCTGCAAAAGTCAACTGCTAAACTTAAAAGAGCACTTACCACATTAAAGGGATAAGCCCCAGCTGCTTCCCTTAGGCCCTTCTCTCTGTCGTAATTTGGGAGAGTGGGGGGTGAGAGAGGAGACTTCTCCATGAGGCAGTTCAGAACAGAAACTCAATTAAGATGCTTCAAATCATCCCTTGAAGGAGCCAGCATCCTTCCTTTGACTACAGGCTTGGCTAAGTTAGATTACTAAAGTTGGATGGATGCCCTTCTTTTTGTCTTTTCCAATCTTACTGTGACTTTAACTAGAAGTGCAGGAATAGTTTCTCATTGTCACAATTTTGATGTATGGTGTATATCTATTTTTAATACATAATAGGATTACTTTCCTGATAAGAATGCTTTACACACTGAATCATTGTGCTTCAGTGTTTGGTGCTGAAGCACAATTGAATATATATATATATTTATTTA